CGTCGCTTTCTCCATCTGGTCCAAGTGTCGCATCTCCAGCTCCATTGCTGGGCCCAGTGCAATGCCACATCCCAAAGTGTGCGACCACTTGACTCACACACGCTCTTTCTCTTAGCCCGGGAGTTTTAAAAACGTCAGGCTGCTGAGCTACAGCACTGTATTGCAGGCATGTAAAAATGGAGAGGGAAAAAAAAACTCACACAAAGTAATGTCTGGGAGGTCATGTAGGACAACTGATGAGGGGAGATAAAAAAACACTTGATACTTTTGAACCAAGGCTAAGATGCTCCAAAGCCAGCTCCAAAAACTGCATAGAAATAGCTCTACAGACCAGCCCAGACAGCCCCAGGTGTGCACTGTGGGGGTTGGATTCATTTCCAACAGAGCATTCGGAAACACATCTGCAGTCTCTGTGCAAGAGGGGAATAAAACGAGAGCCTGGGTGACTGCTGTGTTCTCCTTTCCTGCTGTGAGGAGAAAGGCTTTGTTCCTTTCTTTGGGCTGTGACTGTTGATGTGGATGCCTGACTCCGCTTTCACCACTTCAGGGCAGGCTCCTCCGTACGGCGAAGACAACTAATTAGGTGCCTAAGGACAGAGATTCTCAGCCCTTTAGCTCTTTATCGGGGTCGCTTCAGATCACAAGTGACCCAAAACCAGGTGAAGCATGAAAGGAGGTGATACGAGGTGACCCGATGTCTGCAGCAAAAGTCCTTGGAGAAGTGGGGCAGATAGTGCTATAAAAGTTTTGAGATGCTCTGTTATAGATTGCAGGAGACAGGCTCAGCTGGGTAACTGTTACAAACCATGGAGGTTTTTTGCAGGTAGGGTTACGAGGACCAAACTCTCAGCACTGGTGGGGACAGAACTGCTTTTGGGTTTTTTTTGCAGGCAACACACAGGCCTTTTTTTCTTTCACGTTAATGATAAGTTAAATTCCTGTCCTGCGTGGCCTGTGATAATATGTCAGGGGAAAGCAGACTAGTGCCAGCCATTAGGGATGCAGTAACAGGTTCTTTTAGCAGAGTAATTACAACACTTACTCAAGCATCTGAGTGAAGATTTCCTGTTAATTATTACTGGGTCTCAAGCTTGCTGCTGGGAAGGCCTTTATGTTTGGGGACTTGAATAAATCTGCAGGTCTCTCGGTTACTCCACCCAAGATTCAAGCCAAGACCTGAGTTTAAGACTGGCCAGTGTTGTTCTGCTCACACTGAAGAAAAACCAGGGTAGCACATGTGAGGGCTTCCCAGCTGGGAACAGTGAGTAGATGTAATTTATGCCTGTGCTGACAAGACATGGGTATGCACTTTTTTTTTCTTAAACATAGATATATCTGTGGAAAGTAATCCTGCCTAGAAGAAACTACATGGAAAGTTTAAAGCAGCTCTGTGCCAATATACTAGAAATTCCCGTAGTGTTCATCCTTCATCTTTTGGCGTTTTTTACTTCTCTGTGCTGAGATTGATCATTTGCATTGTGTAAAATATATTCCCACGGGCACTCTGAGAGCTAGAATAATGCTACAGGAAAGAAAACTCCTAAGTGAAATGCACCAGTGACTGCTTGCTGTTAGCTAAGGTGCTTTCAAACTGTTGACAGTGCAGACTCTGTGGGACCGTGTGTCTACAAAAGGGTGGTGGTTTTCTCTGCTCATGCTGTGCTGCCACCTGATGGGCACTATGAAGGAGCCACACACAGCCCTGAAATGCAATGCCTTAGACAGTGTATGCCCACTAGCATCTGTATCTGGTTTTATATTAACAGTGAATTCTCTTTAATCTTGGGGAAGCAGGTATTGAGAGCCCATCTGTTATTTGTAGTATAAGAACAACAATAAAGCTATATAAAAAAGCAACTGTTTGCTGGTTCCTCCCCCTTCCTAAGCGCCCCCTCACAAGTACCTAAGCAGATTTCACTTGATAAACCATTTTTTGGCCTGATTTTGCATGTCTTCTTCCTGGAGGGCTCCATTTCATGCCTGTGACTTCTGTCCACAAGAGATGCCTGCTTAAAAATCACCCACATCACACAGCTGGAACAGCTGTCACATGGCTTGAAAGTACTCTCCCAAAACTGACTACCTGGCCTTAGCTTCCCCAAGGGAAAAATATGTAGGTAATATACACGTAGGACTCCTCTTCACTCCTTATCCTAACTCAATCTTCATCTGCCATTCAGTCAACTGTTCCAAACTCCTCCTTGGAAGTGTTGTGCTTAGCAATTCAAACAGTGAACACCTTATGTGTCTGGCACAGCTGCGAGTAAACCAGGATGAACCCATGGAAGATTATCCCCTGAAGGTAGAGGGTGGCAAAGAGGACGACTCCAGCAGTGGCACGCGCCGCTTTGGGATGGGGCAGACCACCAAAGACCAAATGAGGACCAACGTCATCAATGAGATCATAAGCACAGAGAGAGACTACATCAAGCATCTGAAGGACATTTGTGAGGTAACAGAATAAAGGTGGAAGTGACTGCAAGAACTTGTTTGCAGGATAGTAGAGTATGTCCCATTCTAGCTTTGCTTTTCTGAAAATGAAATTGCATTGCCAGCAGAGCCGGCTCTGCTATATGGCGTTGCACGCTCAGAAAACCCAAGACAATTCATTACAGCAGCATCCCAAATGCCTCTGTATTTGGAGCACCACTTGGGCTCTGATTAAATGGAATTAATTGAATCTCCCAAGCCAGAGAAAAGTAAATGTCTAGTATTGCTGTCCTCTTTAATATATGTTCTGAGGTAATATAATCAGCAACTCCAGCCTCCAGGCAAGTCATGCTCAGATCAAAACAACTGGGGGATATTCAGCCAATTAGGTCTTTCACTTGCAAATACGCTGAATGTTGCGACACCTCTTCTAAAAGAGACTCGCTGTCATATACACGGGGTAAATGAAGGTAATTGGTAAGAGTTTTGCAGGGACATCGTTCTTTACTGAAATGACACAAAAAGGTACTGCCCTCCAGGGAGAGCCAGCTGGGGCAAACCAGCACACACTTACCAAAAAACCCTTCCTCCCTCACCGTCCCCTCGTGTCCTTTGAGCACTCCTCCTCCCTTGAGTCAACCAGGCATTTCCTACCACAAGCATCCAAACCAGACCCACAACTGGATTTAATTGGCCTAAATCTATGAGCAGATCAGCGGTGGGGTCCGAACAGCCCATAGCCTGCAAACAGCAGAGAAAGTGGCCCTGGGACTCCTTGAAGTGTGGATGACAGTATTATTTAAGGCAGTGATGTCACTGTGGCTTGGTTTCTATTTCCACCATCTTTTGGCTGATATTAGAGGCAGTAACAGCTCACACGTGAATGCAGGAAAGGGGTGCAGGAACCTGGTGTACAACTGACTGCCACCCCTGGGGTGTTCTGTTGATAACAAAAGGCTGCAGAGCAAGTGCCCGAGAAGATTTCCAATTCGGTTTCCTCCTAGGGTTACATTAAGCAGTGCCGCAAAAGAGCTGACATGTTTACAGAAGAACAGCTGAAGACAATCTTTGGGAATATTGAAGACATCTATAGGTGCCAAAAGAAATTTGTTAAAGCACTAGAGAAGAAATTCAACAAAGACCACCCACATTTGAGTGAGGTTGGCTCATGCTTCTTGGAATATGTAAGTAAATTTCACTTCATGGGAAGGGGGTAGTTGGACGGGGATTGAGTCAGAGGATCTAGAAACTGATATGGCAGAACTGAAGCTCTGTTTAAAAAATTCCATCCAACCAAATTAAACAGCGCCCCCCCCCCCCCTCCCAGCTCCCACCCCATTCAACCACTACCCATCTCCCAAAGAAACATCCTCTAGCTTTTTTGGCTGTAGGAAGAACATTTTTCAAAGTACCTCAGCTTCTGAACCCTACACTATTGGGCTGCTTCAGGCAAAAATGTAGGAAGATTGCAGAATCTCAAGCTGGACCTGAGTTTCCCGCTATGGTATTTTCAGGTCAGTGCAGGATCAGCGAGGGCTGATCCGGGCATTAAAAACATTCAGCTGAACACAGGCCAGAATACCTGGAAATGTCTCAGTCCCTCAGCAAAACTGCATGTGCTGCATTTTTTTATACACCCTGCCCATCCTCAGCTTCAGGTGTCCTGGCTTCAAAGCCTGGGGAGGATGCGAATCACCAAACAGCCTCATGTGATACAGGAGTAGGATCTACACAGTTTGAGCCAGGTCATCATCCTAAAAGCACAGACGGTAAATCCCTGCATTTCCCTTCCAGCAAACGGAGTTTCAGATATACTCTGAATACTGCAACAACCACCCCAACGCCTGCATGGAGCTGTCCCGCCTCACCAAAGTTAACAAGTACGTCTACTTCTTCGAAGCCTGCCGCCTGCTGCAGAAGATGATTGACATCTCTCTGGATGGCTTTCTGCTGACTCCTGTGCAGAAAATCTGCAAATATCCACTGCAACTGGCTGAACTGCTCAAATACACCAACCCCCAGCACAGGTAGGTCAGTGAGGTGGGGAGGGAAGGAGCGAGACGGGTCTCATGGGAACGGACTAATGCAGAATTGTGTATTGAGGGCAGCTTGCCAAGATAGTACAGTTTTATGCTACCTTGTGGAAACTAGGGAGAAAAAAAAAAAGTATTTTTCTATCAAATACGTAATTTTTTCCATTATAGTAGCACTGCACTTTCTTGTCTGTAATAGATGTGGAATTGCAAGGTCCACCTTACAACAGTTCTTTACTATTTTATTTGGTCCACGTGTCCGTGATACCAGCACATATTTGGAATGAAATATTTCCAGTGGTGGTGTTGAAAACTTTGCCTCCAAAAGCACTGTATGTATGTCTGCCATAAATGTCCATATATCTACACATCAGGGCTCAGCAGCAATCATGAATTTTGCCCCATACTTCTCCACTGGGAAGTCGTGGCCTCCAGCAGCCAAGCCATGCACGGTTGATGCCTCTTCAGCACCAGCTCAGAAGCCTCCAAAGCCATTGCTCACTTTCAGGGGGAAGGCACTGCCGTCGGCTCAGATAACTGTGTCACTCAATCAAACAGCTGATATAATTAGCCACAGAAATAAACCATAGAAAAAAGGAAAGTGTTGATATTAGTCCATTGTGGCTTGACTTGATTTTACCTTCCTAATTACAGCGCTGGTGTTTCTCAGAGGGGTTTTAAGCCTGTCTCATTAAATCTGTAAGCATGTTGTTCTGAAGCTGACCTCGTAACAGAAAGCGCCTTAGCGCAGCACACAGATGTTTTGAAAATCACGTTCGCGACAAGTTGTGCAGACCAGCGCCTTCCCAGAGCAGCTACTCTAAACTCGGCAGAAGTAGCTGGTGGCGGCAGATGGTGTGGGGGAGGGTGGATCAGCTTCTCTCCTACCCTTCCAGATAAACCATTGGCTCCTAGCTGAAGAGTTACTGCTGAATTGCCTCACCTAGCCATGAATCAGTCCCTGTAGTATCGATACATTGTGTTACATGCAGAAAAAAATAAAACAAAATCTAAAATAAAGGCTTGGAAAGCTCTGGGCGTTCTTCCAGGAGTTCCAGTTTACACCTCTGTGGCTGGATTTGATTGCTTACTCCCTTCCCTTCCACAAATTGGGCCTGGATTTGTTGCAAGATGATAATCTGTGCCACAAAACGGGCGTGCGTCTGAAAAGCCGCCCACAGAAACATGTAAGTTCGACTTCCAGCATAAAACAGCTGGGCTAGAAGTGCAAGTGGAACTCCTGGTTTCTGCTCTCCAGCCCAGACTGCACGGCCCTGCAACGCAGGCGCCATAAGCACCTCTCGTGTTGCCGTGCCTAACACCTCTGCCCTACCCCAGGGATTTCAAAGATGTCGAAGCCGCCTTGAATGCCATGAAGAACGTTGCTCGGCTCATCAATGAGAGAAAGCGGCGGCTGGAGAACATTGACAAAATCGCTCAGTGGCAGAGTTCCATAGAAGACTGGGAGGTAAGGGACTTCCGTTCCCCAGGAATGGAAGGTTGTGTGTTGCCTCTCTTCTTCCCCTCCAACAGCTTCTATTTGCAGCAAGATCTTCAGGAGAATTTACTACTGAGCCATGCCACCCCTGTTTGTGTGAGGGTTTTTTTTTTATTTTTTATTTTATTTAAACAGGTGTGAGCCTTCAGTCCAACTGAAAAGATGTAGCACACAACCCAGCTAGGCCAGCTGCCGTTATGTGTTCCCTGGGAGTTTTCCTTCCTCATTTTCCTTGCAAAATAAAACCAGCAGGGAGGTTACTGAAATCCTATTGTATTCCTCTTGCCCCTCCATTTTAATCTTGAGTGATTTCAAACTCTCAGGATGAACAGAATTGCCCCTTAATGCTTAATAATTATGCTTGCAGAAAGGCAAGTTCTAATATAGACAGGGTTCCCTGTAGTCTCATTAAATAAAAAAATAAAGAAACAAATCTACCAATTTTGTAAATCCTAAACTCAATAAAACTAGCCCAGCTTCTTCCCCAAGGATGTCCTGCTAAATTCTCACCTCTCTGCTTATGTGCCTCCTTTAATGTCAGGAATGGATCAGCTACCCTGAGCAGACTCCCTGCAAAAGGAGATTTTTATTATTTTTTTTTTCATTTAACACATTTTGGTCTTACCAAATTCAGTTCCCATTCCCTGGGTGCCAAGGGCGCAGCATCTCCCTGCTATGATGGGAGGTGTCGCCCCGCACAGAGGCTCCCCCTTGTTCCCAGAAGAGACCGTGGTCAGCAGGTAGGCCCCACAGCCAAGCTAAGGTTCTCCTACGAGGCTACAGGCCTGTCTCTTCTCCCCTGTTTTCAGATGGCTGAGACCAACCTGTTCTTTGTACCGTTCTCAGGGTGAAGATGTCCTAGTCAGAAGCTCAGAACTCATCTATTCTGGGGAATTAACCAAAATCTCCCACCCTCAAGCCAAGAGCCAGCAGAGGATGTTCTTCCTCTTTGATCACCAGCTTGTCTGCTGCAAGAAGGTACCTCCCTGGCCCTGCACAAATGCTGCCCGTTACAGCACTAAACAACCTGAGAGAGCTCCCTCTCTCCTCCTTTGGTTCCTTAATACTTACTGGCATCATGTGTGCTTCAAGCGCAGCTGATTTTCTGGGCATCTGTTGCCGTCTTTTCTCTGACATCCTGGTGTGTTCTTGTGCACCTGACCACAGCAATAAGCTACAGGAAGTAACTACTCGCATCACCTGTATAGCAAGAGAGGAAAGCATTGCACTGCTTTGAGGGTTACCACCCGTTTTCTTCTAAACGTTTGTTTTTTCTTTCCAACTGCACATTCACTTTAATGTCATATTCAGATGGGAACTGCAGCTTTGATGAAGAGCTGTGCACCCTGACAGTCAGTAAGACTATAGTAAGTCTGTAAGTACAGGCCTAAGTAATAGAAGAAATCTTCCTTCAGAAACCAAATGAAAGGAATGTTCCATTGGAATTTCAGGAATGAACATGCCTTTTTTTTTTTTTTTTTTTTCAGAATCCATGGCATAGGGGCAGCTCCAGGCAACTTAGGCGTGATACCCTCACTGTTTTAGCACTGCTCTCAAATTTACTTTTCACTGGCAACACAGAAACCTCAAAAATTAGTTAGGATTTCTTTTTCAGCTTTCTAGCTGGGACTGTAGGATTCAAATACTATTTTCTGACACAGGCTTAATGAGGATTTGGGAATCATGGGTAATAATGGAAGCTTGCTTCTCATTCAGTGCTCATCAGAGCAGCTGGTATCCCACAGTAGTAGATGCCAGCCTGTGCTGACCTCACTGCTAGAAGAAACCAGGGGGTTCCCCTCACTCACAGGAGGTTAGCATGCTGCAATTCCATGGACTCAAATCCAGTATCCGTATTCTTCTACAGGAGTGTAATGACTGCCAAAAAGATTAAATACTCCCATCATATCAAAGAAAATGAATGTTAAGGAAGGGACAGGACAGGAAACAGTACTTGGGTGGAGTATAGGACTGCTGTCAGAGAATGCAGGGAGGCGATTAGAAAAGCTAAGGCCTCTTTGGAAGTAAAACTTGTGAGAGAGGTCAAGGACAACAGAAAGAGTTTCTTCAAATACACTGCAGACAAAACTAACACTAGAGGCAACGCAGGCCCTCTGGTGAATGAGGGAGTGCCCTGGGGGCAGAGGACAGAAAGAAGGCAGAGTTACTGAATGCCACCTTTGCTTCTGTCTGCGCTGTTGGAGACTGTCCTCAGGAGACTCATTCCCCTGAAGCCCCAGAGGAAGTCAGGATAAAGGAGGAGTTTGCCCTGGTTGAGGAGGACTGGGTTAGGGATCACTTGGAACACCTGAACATCCATAAATCCATGGGCCCTGATGGGATGCACCCGTGGGTGCTGAGGGAGCTGGCGGGAGTCATTGCTAGGCCACTCTCCATCATCTTGGGTAAGTCATGGGCAACAGGTGAGGTGCCTGAAGACTGGAGGAAAGCAAATGTCATTCCAGTCTATAAGAAGGGCAGGAAGGATGACCCGGGTAACTACAGACTGGTCAGCCTCATCTCCATCCCCAGAAAGGTGATGGAACATCTTATCCTTGGTGCTGTCTCTAGGCACATCAAGGATAAGAAGGTTATTAGGAGCAGTCAGCATGGCTTTGCCAAGGGGAAGTCATGTTTGACCAACCCGGTAGCCTTTTATGAGGACATAACCAGGTGGATGGAGGGTGGCCATGCAGTGGACATGGTTTGTCTGGATATCAGCAAGGCATTTGACACTG